ATTCGCCTAACACTGCTACTGGCTGAGAAAACTATTTAACATATCTCAGGTCTATCTAACCTGCACCTACACAGTACAAACTTGGCAAGCACTCAAAGGTGAGATAAGGGTTCTGCATCTTTGGCTACTGAGCAACACCTAGTGACTGGTTGCAAACATTGCAGCCTCTGGCTTTATGCCTTCACAGCAGCAGAATAAAAACGGAAGCCTAAATGTCTGGAAAGAGGAGGCAGAAATGGGTATTGGGCAAAAAGACTGTATAGATTACATATGCAAATCTACAGTCATGGGCACTGACAAAATAAAGAGTGGGTTATTGCCTCAGAGAGCAAAGGACCCCTTTCCAGGCACCTCAGGAGTATTCTCTTTGATTACCAGAGCAGTTGTTTGATCGCCACCATCACTAAAACAGAACATAAAACCATTTCAAGAGAAAGGATGTTGTCTTTTTCATTTAAAATCAACTTTATAAAAGGAAATGTTTGGGATTCTTCCCTCTGTCATTATTTGCTGCAGCGTATGAAGAATAATCACATCTCATGGACAGACACAGATTGTTATTTTTGTCATTTGCTGAACTCCTTATTTGAATGATTAGGATGAACAAATTTAGAATGAAGAAAATCCTGCAAGCTACAAACACTGATTAATAAACAAATAGTAAACAAACATATGATCTGCTCTGGCAATATATTGAGTTTAATTTTTTTTCACAGCAACAGCAACTTTAAAAAAAAAAAAAAAAAAAAACTTTCACCAGTATCAGGAAAGGGTGGGTTAGAGTCAGGGGTTTCCTGAGCCTTTTCAGAACATGGTTTTAACGTAGCAGCATGTTTAGAAGAGCCCCTAGAGAGTCTTGTTTTGGAACATACTGACGCCTACACACTATTATCTTTGCTACGTTTTGCAGTTTTGTGTGAAATTTATTTTTAATCTTTAACAAAACATGTCCATGTTTATCTTAAATTCAGAAATGGTTTAATAATTTAAAACAAAATACCTTTTTAAAATAATTATATTTACAATGAATGCTGAAACATAAAAGTCTAAAGCAAGTTAACAAGAAAGGGTTTCTTAAAGATCAAAGAAAATGTGTTTGTTTGATTTGATTAAGACAAATAAAAAGTACTTTCACTTTAACAGGTTCTAACCGGCTGTTGACAACAAAATTTTTCTTTTTCCCAACAGGATAAAGGTTTTTTTTCACTACAGAGGTTCACGTACTTGGAACAGATTGCTCACTAATGTGACAAAGGTATTACATTTTTAAGAGCAGAGGGAGGGCTCTGGTACTGAAGCTATTTCAAAACCAGAGAATGTTTCTCAAAAATAAATTTTTTTGCACAGTATTTAATTTGTGTTCCTTTTGCTATGGGCTCTGCAACATAAAGAATATATGATTTTCTTGCTCCCTCTTCTTTATGATATGTGTAAAGAACAGCAGAGAACACAGATGTAAAAATCCCACTGGCATAGTGCTATTTAGGTCAAGTGAACTACTCCAACTTTACCCCAGTGGAGGATCCAGTACAACCTTATTTCTGTTCATTTTTTATGTTAGGGTTTCCACTCTTGTCTGCTGTAAAAGACTCTGTTGGGACTATGTCACAGTCCATCTCCCAAGAACTAAATGGAAAGACTCCCATCGCCTTCACAGAGAAATGCACAGGCTGTAAGAGAAATAATGACAAAACAAGAGATGAGAAAGCAATAGCTAAGCAATTTGGACAGGAGTGAATGTTTAGCTGCACTGTTTAAAGCTCTCTGTATTTGAGGATTTTGTTTTGATTAATCCCTGTTTAACTCCAGTACACAATAAGCATTTGAAACAAGAGTATGTTTTTAAAAGATTAGCACCCTTTCCCTTTTTCAGATGTGAGTGCTTACAATAAACATCTGATATCATTGATTTTTTCTAGCAAACCCAAGAAGACCAAACCTGGCATTCCTGATACTTCTAAAGTAAAAGCAAAAAAGTATAAGCTATTCAAACTACATTTTGGGCTTTCTTTATATATGAAGTATCAAATAAGGAGAAACTCCTATTCCTAAGAAAAAGTCTTTTACAAGGCTCTCCTTTAAAAGCAATCAGACAAATTCATTCCTGCATTAATTTCACTAAAACTTTAGCTTTGCGTTTAACTCATTGTATCTGCACAATTCACCATCCAGCTTGGCTTCTTCTCCCTCATCCTATGGTTTAAACATCCCCTTTATTGGAGGTGACTCATCCTGACATCAAATGGAGCTGCATATGTGCTAATCAAATCCTTAACATAGAAGTGAAAGAGATACAACAATCACCTTTCACTGTAAGATTACCTAGAAGAAGTCAACAGGTTGTTTAAAAATTAATCCAAATGTAACATATCTGATAACGTTATGAGAAAAATACTTGTGATTTATGTTTATGTCTGGAAGTTTCTCCTAGTGTGAAAGTCTGTCTTTAAAGGAAAACCTTTACCGCAATGTGCGTTCTTTCATGTTATGCAGCCTAAACTATGCATTGCAGTGATGTCAATAATGTACATGAAGTGACTGTATCCTGTCTGTGTCCTCTAAGGATGACTTTGAAAGTTAAATGTTTCATCTCTCCAGTCACATCCTGATCAACAAACTAAAACAGCCAATAAATAAATACATTTAGTGACAAACTGATCTTTCTGTAAGCTGCAGTTAAACAGGAACTTGATTTGTTTTTGTATTCACATCTAGTCTATAATAATGTGCCCAACATTATGGTTAAAATTACAAGATCAGAGACCCCTTTGTGGTACCTGCTTTCCTAGAAAAAAGGACACTCTTCTATACTCATCCGTTTGAAGTCTGTATTTTCAGACCTACTGACATGCTTGAAGAAGGAACTAGAAGTTTGGTTTTGTATAGCTTTGAGTGGTACCTACTTTTTGAGAAAGAGAAAAACATAGAAATTAATTTATATAAGCCTCTCAGTAATTAAAGCTGTTAGAAAGGTGTTGTGTACCGTACAGCAGTGAGAACATCACGGATACTAAACTAATAAAAACATAATATAATGTTTCCATTATAATAAAGTTATAGCTTGCACATACACCTCACCCCAAACACACTCCGTCAACTTCAAATCCAACACCTGCTACATGTAATGGAGGGGCAATTTTGGCTAAATTTAAATTGGTTTAGACCAAAGGTGCTCAACTCACAACACACAGAGCTGTATCATCCAGCCTGTGGGGCTCCCTGCAGGTCTGGAAATTTGGTGGCTGGGGAGTGGTGGCAGCAATCGCTGCTTACCTGCTGTCAAATTTCTAGAACTATGGGGAGTCCTGTGGGCTGGATAATGTGGCCCTGCATGCTGCATCAGGCGCACAGGGCCTGGCAGAGGCAGGTCAGAGCCCAATCCTGGCACACTGGGCTGGACAGAGGCAGGTGTGGGACAGATCAGACCAGGCAGGCCCAATCCAGGTGCGCAAAGGCAGGGAGGTTTTACTCGGCCTTGGTGAGGCTGCAACTGGAGTTCTGCATCCAGTTTTGGGCCCCCCAGTTCAAAAGGGACATGGATAAGCTCAAGAGAGTCCAGTGGAGAGCCACCCATATGATCAAAAGCCAAGAGAGCAAACCTTACAAGGAAAGGCTGAGGGACATGGGACTCTTCAGCCTGGAGAAGAGAAGGCTCAGAGGGACTTGGTGGTAGCCAATAAGTACATAAGTGGAATGGCATCAGGATCTGGGAGAACAATTGTTTACCAGGGCTCCCCAAGGAATAACAAGGCCCAACGGCCACAAACTCCTAGAAGGCCTATTTAGATTGAACAACTTAGGAAATAAGGAAAAACTTCTTCACAGCCTAAGTGTGCAGGGTCTGGAACAGACTCCCCCCAGGGGTGGTACAAGCATTTACTCTGGACTCATTCAAAAAGCACATACCCTGCCCCCCAGCTGTGCATGGGATGGAGGCAGCAGCTGCTGCTGCGCGCTGGGCTTTGCACGCCACTGCAGCTGCCCCGGGAGCATTGTGATGCCGCATGCCTGCTGCTGCCAGGCTGCGCTGCACCCCTGCCCGCCTGGTGGTGGAACACATGTGGCATCACACCGCTCCTGGGGCAGCTGCAGTGTTGCGCAAAGCCCAGAGCACAGTAGTAGCTGCCTCTGCTCCATGCGCCCCTGCCGGGGTGTATGCAGGGGCAGGGGCAGGGGCAGGGGCAGTACCCCCCCCCCCGATGAGCCACCTGGGCTCCAACTGTCCCACAACCTGGCCCAACCGGGTCCCCATTCACACCAGCCCCTGCCCCTGTCTGTGCCCCACTTCTTCCCTCCCTCACCACAGGGGCCTTGATCTGCTCCCCCATGGCCCTATCCCCTCCCCCACAGACTTACCTGCAAAAAAAAAAAGGGGGGGTGAAAGCACACACTCAGCCCCTCCAAATAATGTTAATATAAAGGGGTACATGAGCTGAAACTTTGAGACAGAAGGGGCATTTGTTAAAAAACGTTGAAAACCCCTGACCCAGCCCACGGGGCTCTAAGGCAGAGAGAGCACCACCGGCTCGGACAAACTATTTCTGAATTGCCGGACGTTACCCCTGGGATGACTCCGGGGGCTTTCATTTTCTCTGGAGAAGCAGAAGAGAAACCAAAGCCAGTTCCTCCAAACTATACGCCGGTCTACTGGGATATTATCAGTGAGGCAACGTTACCAAGAGCAGCTACATACAGCAGCAAATTCACAGGCACGCTCAGGACTGGGTGGCTAGGCCTCAGGGCCCGCAGAAAGCAGCCTTATGGGCTGAGGCAAGCTCCAGCCTCCCGCCCCGTGCGGCTGTGTGGAGCCTTTGGGACAGCTCAGGCTCATACTTGCGAATCCCCTGAGTCACAGGCAACCATCTCTCCCTAACCTAAGTCCTGTCTGTCAGAGGCTGGCCCTCCCTCAAGCGCATGCGCCTAACCCCCCAGCCAGGCAGCCGCCTCAACGCGCCTCTCAAAGCGCCAGCTCGCAGCCCAGCCTAGCCCCGTCGCGCTCCTTCCTTGGCTGGCTAGTGCGTCGTGTGACGCAGCACGCCGCGTGTGACGCAGCACGCCAGGTTGGGAGCGGACTTGCGGGCGGAAGTAACGTGTCGGCAAGATGGTGAGCTGGAGCGGGGGGCGCGTGGGGTAGGGCGGTGGGGGAGGGTCGCAGTTGGGCCGGGCCGGGCCGGGCCGGGCCGGGCCGGGCGGGAGACAGGCAGGCGGTTGCGCTGCGTTGGGCCAGCCCTCCCTCAGTCGGGCAGGGCTAGGAGCGTAGTGCTGAGTCACGAGGACGGTTTGTCCCTGCGGGGCGGGGGGCGATTAAACGGTCTGGCTTGTCACCCCCCGCCCCGCTCCTCTCCTCTCCTCTTCCCCGCTGCCAGGGGCCGGTGGCGCTTCGTCTCGAGGCGGGGGAGGGGGGGCTCTGCCGTCACCTTCGCCTCTGGGCCCTGCCAGTGTCCGGAGCACCCCGCTCCCCAGCCTAGGACAGCGCTTCTCAGCCGGGGTCTGAGGCAGCCTGGGATGCCCTGGGATCTTCTCAAGAGTGTTGCAGTGCCCTGCACTACTGCACCAGGCTCACAGGATCAACCCCGTGCTAGACCTTCGCTATGCCTGAAGAGGGGTGTTTGTGTCCAAAAGCTTGCGGAGAACACTCTTTCCAACTTTTTAGTTAGTCTAATAAAAGGCATCACATCTACCCAAAGAGCCTGGTCTGCTGGGACAAAACCCTGCATGTTCCCATGGTGGGGAGTTCCTGTCCGGGCACTGTCCCACAGCAGTGCTGCTCTGGTATTTTTCAGTAGCAAAAGCAGAGTGAAAACATAAGAGCTGGCATTTTCCAAGGGGGGCTGTGAGTTTATCCTGGGGGGATGCAAGCCTTAAAAGGTAGAGAACCACTGCCACAAGGAAACCAGGTGCTCGAGGTTAATGTCCGTGTCTTGCCATAGCCAGGACAGGGTGTTAAAATGTGCTGCAGGGGTCCAAGGAAGAAGGTTTTGCCCCTTCTACAGAGGAAGGAGAAATCACCAGGCAAAGCTTGTGCCCTTATGACTATGAGGTAAAATTTTTTCCTGGTCCTAAATAAGGCTCCTAAGTGGAAGAGTAAGTCTTTTTAATGAGGAACCTTGGGGGGGGGGGTGTTAAGTCCCAGCAAGAATATTTGCAGGTCCCAGTCAGAATCAAGGCTTGGCTGTGGGCAGCACCCATTGCTTCTGAAGAAGGTGGACCCCCCCCCCCCCCCACACACACACACACATCTGTAATGGGGGGGGGGGCGGGAAACATTCCTCCCTGGCCCCACATGGCAATCAGCAAAGCCCAGAAGCATGGGATAAGCAGACACGGTGGCGAGTGATGGTTAACTGGGGGATGCGTGTGCTACTCCATATATCAAAAACCTGAAGTGAAGAGTCAGAATTCTCTTTTCTGTCATCCTATCCACTCCATAAATTTGTCGCAGCTCTTTAATTTTGTTTCATAACCATTGTGGTTGTAGAGCTGCTATTTCATTCTGCTCCTGCTGAGCATGTCCATCTCTAATTTCCACCCGCCTTGGCCTGCAGAGCTCTTTTCCTGATCACTGAATGATGTTCTGGGAGGTCTCTGTTGGTGGTATAAGGGGATTTCTTGGATTTCCCAACACATTGAGTTTTTGTAGTATTACTTGACTCCAAGGTATGGTAGTATAAGCCAGAACTTTTATAAGTTTCTGCTTATGCTTCATCTCTCTGGGCCTTGCAAAGTTTAGTTTTAAATGCTTCGTTTTGTTTCACAACAAGCATAAGAATTCTCATGACAGATCAGACCAGGATCTGTCTAGCTCAGTATTCTGGCTCCAACAGTGGCGATTTGCAAATGTCTTTAAAGAAAAATATTAGAAATAGGCCACATGTGGAATTACCTGTCCCTGTCATTCCCTCCCAGTTACCAGCAACAAGTTACAACCCTAATTGTTATGTATAATAGCTCCTGTTGGACTGATCCTCCAAAAGTTGTCTAATTCCTTCTTCAACTTGATTATGCTATTGGTCTCCACAACATCCAGTAGCAATGATTTGCACATTAATTAGACATTGAGAAAGTTCCACAAGCTTCTGGAAGAGATTAGGAATGCTAAACCAAGCCTATGGACAGCAATGGAGTGGGCCCACCACTGGGAAAGATCAGACTTACTTCTACAGTGTTTTATACCAGCACCAAATGGTGTTCCTCCCTGGGCACAACCTTGACAGAGAAGCATGGGTCAAGCTGAACAGAGTGAAATCTAGATACGGATGCTTCAAAACAACACTTCACAAGGTGAACATCTTGGACACCTCCCTGTGTGAATGCGGTGTCCAACAAACAGCACAGCGCTTAATCGAAAGCTGCAATCTTTACAAATACCCAGATGGGACAGATGGAATTGGCACGTGGAGTGATAACACCAGACAGTGGCTCATAGATTTGGATATCTGACGCCATATGAAAAAGAGAGACATTGAGAACAATAATACTTCCATGCACCTGTTTTAAGTGTGCTCCCTGATTAATTCCTTTGTGCTTCCATGCCCCTTGGTTCTTGTATTACGATGCACGATAAAGAACAATTCCTATTCGCTTATTTGTTTATTAGATTTATGTCACCCTTTCCCACAAAGGCTCAGGGTGGCTTGCAGTAAGAGAATAAAATAACTTCTAAAATCGGTGAATGTGCAAGTGAACAGATCAACTTATAATAGCAAGTAAAGCATCAAGAGAGAACAGAACCATCCCTTAACAATATCTAAGTCTAGTCTTGCTTTCTGTATACCTGGCAAAATAGGAAGATTTTACAGCAGTTCTGAAAGATGTCAAGTCTGGGGCTCTGTCAGGCCATAAGGCGAGGAGGATGTAAAGCTGAAGAGTAGCTATTACAAACAATGTCCCCACATGTTTTTGCCAAACAAATATGATGCATTGATGGCATTTGCAGGAAATTGCTCTTAGTTGACTATAGGGTTTGGGATGAGGCATAAAAGGAAGAAGGTGATACGTTGGGTATCCAGGGCCCAGACTTTTTAGGGCCTTAAAAGTGGAAGCAAGCTCTTCGAATTATACCTAGAAATCTCAGGAAGCCAGTACATTTATTGGAGACCTGCCATTGTGCACTCCTGCAGCCCACCCCCATCAAACGGCGTGCCACCATGTGCTGCACCAGCTGTTGCTTCCAGATGTTCATCAAGGGCAGCCTTGTGTAGAGTGCATTGCAGTAGTCTAGTCTCAAGGTAACAAAAGCACAGATAAGTGGCCAGATCTGAATCTGAAGAATGGGTCACAGCCTTCTCAGCAGATGGAGCCAGTAAAAGGCATTACTACCCATCACTATCACCACCTTATTCCATACCTTCATTGTTTTGTAGACCTCTCTCATATCCCCATTCATCTTCTCCATTCCAACGTGAAGTGTCTCTGCTTTTTAAGTCCCTCTTTCTATGGCAGCTATTCTTCTTTTATTATAGCCTTTTTTTCTGTATCTTTTTCCAGTTTTACTGCACCCTTTTTGAGAGAGGTGATCAGAAGTCAACACGGTACTCAAAAATGTGGGCATATCATGACTAGATATGTCATTTCTTCCTCTTCAATTTTATTTACTGAATTCTATTCTGTTTCTCCTCATAATTTCCTTAATATTGTACATTCTAGTGAACAGTGCTGTTGCTTTTATACATGGTTTGATCAAAAAGTTCTAAGACTTGATGTTCGGAGTATTGTTCATCAGGAGTTTGTACCAAGTGGTCAAACAATCAATCAGGCCTTTTATAAAGAGGTTTTGATTCGATTGAGGGATAAAGTTAAAAGAAACTGCCGCGAGCTATGTGAAAATGATCGATTGGTTTCTGCACCATGACAATGCTCCTTCACACGCTGCTGTCTCCATTCAAGAATTTTTGGCCGAAAAAAACATTCCTGTGATACCACACCCTCCGTATTCACCTGAC